ATTTTGAATAAAATTACTTTGCAATATATTATCTTTAACTCTTTCAATTAAAAAATCAGAATATGTCATTATAAAGTGTAAACTATTATATTAGTTGTAATTTCAAAAAAAAATACTAATGGATTTAGGCCTAAAATGTGTATTTTTGGGTTGGGTAAGGGATAAAGGTCCTGACTCGTTTCGAAGGCAGGGCTTGGGCCCAGATGATTTTATGGCAGCCAATCCAAATGTCAATAAATCCAGACCCCTTGTTTATTACCTTACATTGTGCGTTTGCTCATCAGCAGCTTATATCTCCATCGCCAATTGACATGGGTGAAGCCAAACAAATCCTGATCTTCACCTACGGACACTGAAACAAGGACACGGAAACCATCACCTTCACAAATCTCATCGTCAAAAAGAAGCCGTCTTTTTAGGTTCTTACTTTACCCACCAACCCTACCCACTGGTCATAGGACCACACGGCATCCCCTACTCATCACCTCCCTGGCCACGGCCACCGTGTCAAGGGGCGAGTTATACTCTGTTTCGGGCAGTGGACTAGTCCGACTGGACCAACTGGAGGGAACCAGCATCGGGCATTACGAGAGGTTGCCTATTCAAGTGTGTTAAGGAGGAGACAAAGAAGGCGTTTTGGTTAGTGCGGAGGCGTATTTCGCCATAGGAGCTTCGGCGAGAGACTTGGGAGAGGAAAGGGAAAGTGGGTTTGATTGAGTTTGGAGAAGAAGAGGGAAAAGGGTATGTTAGGATAGAGGATCGGCCACATGGATTTGATTTTCTTCGTGATATTACTTCATTTCTTACCAGTAATGACTAATGAGTGTCTTTGTTTCTCTTTGGTTTGGGTTTTCAATCTAATAATTGCATGATTAGTGAAAGGGTTTGGTTTTATGTTAGACTCTTTCTTTCCCAGCTGCTGTGAGGATTATTATTATTATTATCATAAAAATTGATTAAAATATAGTATTTATTTATTATTTTTTAACCATCGATAATATATATTCGCTTTATCTCTTTCATAAATCAATCACCAAAACTTAAGATGCAATTAATAAAACTCCTGCCCAGATTATTAATGTAGTCTGATTTGTTGAATCAACAAGATAAATACCTTGTAATTCTCAACCAAGCTTATTCAAAACCTGAAACTGACAATGCGGTTGTTGAACATATCCCGAAACAAGTAGATTATCAATACTTTTGATCTCGCCTCTGGGTGCGTTTAATATGATCATTTAAGAATGTTTAGTATTTATTTGAATATTCCGAGGTTATTGCAAGGGAATATTTCTTCAAAATCCAACCATAGGCGATGGTTCTTTTCGGTGCTTCTAGTGGTAATCATTTCAACCACCAGATGTGGGACGGGTATTTGTGTACAAACATTTTCTTTTCATTTTTCCACTTTAGGTTCGAGTAGCGTCCTTCGTAGGTATAGGATCAGTTTTTTCTTTTAATTAAAACCTTAATTTTAATATGTATTTCATCTTTCATAGAAACTTAATAATTATAAACAATTTTTTTTTATCTCTATTCGAGTTTAGATAAAATTACTGTTTAATGTTTTATATAAATAATGAAATTTTCCCATATTTTTATTTTAGAGTATATTAAATTTTAACGTTTCGATTTTCTGTCAAAATAAATTTTGTTGAATGGATATCATTAGTTGACTTTCAGTCAATACATGTTTTTATAAGACATTTTCGCATATGTTTAATTGCTGACGGTATATATCAAATCATCACTTTAGGTGACATGACACATACCACTTCAACAATTGACATATTTAAAAATATCACCTTAGCAATATCTTTTGATTGTTAGACAACTTATTATTTTCATCCAACATGATCAATTTTGACTAAAATTGAAATATTGGAAGGCTAAAATACTAAAAAAAATAGAATACAAAGTGATCATTGATACAAATGTTGGGGGTAATTTTATGATTATGCCAAAGATAAACCCAAACCTGCATACAATTCAAAGGCAAAGGGAGTCGGCATGTGTAGTTGGATACGTCAGAGATGATGAAGTGTGAAGAATATGGGGTGGAAAGAAAAAGGATCCACTAGCCAAGCAAAGTGTAATGGAGTGGACTCGCTAATGGAGGGATATGAGATTATTGGAGGTGCTATATTGCATGTGCTTTCCCACTACTCTCATGCATGCGCCATGCTTATTCCTTTCTTTTTCTATGTTTTGTTGGAGATATCAATCCTTGAAATGAACAAAATATTTCAGACCTGAAAGTGCAGAAACACACAGAGATGATAATGGCTTCCAGATAGTTGTTAACTCATTTTTGCTCAAGAAAATCATCGGATAATGCTGTTAATTTTCGATATGATACGGCAGAGATGGTATAGAAAATAGAACACAATCTTAAATTGGACCCATCATCTTCAGATCCTGTGCATTGTGTACAGAAGAGACCTCAAAATGGTTATCAAATCTCATAATTTAGCACTATGAGGTAATGGTGTAGTATTCGCAATTTGGTTTTGGGTGACATCAATTTAGGTTTAAAAATGTTAAATAATTTTAGTTTGGGCAGTTCTAGTTTGAACTATAAGGTAGTATTTGTTCATAATTTTTCTAAGTCATTATTGACAACACCCACACCCACAGGATATCTGGAGAGAACAATACTTCATTTAATCATCGAGACCACTTGATGAGTCTAAGATCATATCTTATTTTTAAATGTAACTATACAAAATAGATGGTGCAACAAATTAAAAATAAAATGTTAAAATCTTATATCAACGGACGTGTGATGATATTAACTAAAAAATATATCAAAATTTATATTAGAACAATACTTAAATTTATTGATATCGATTTAGAATTGATATAAATCACTACAATATTGATTATCATATCTGACTTGTTTTGCATCTGAGTTAAGTTGAATTTAATTGATGATTTTTTATGGGCTAATCAGATTGAGTGAAGGTTTGAGTTTAGGTTGATAGGTTGAATTTTTATGGCTATTTTCTGCCTTTGAGGGTACATAAATTGGTTTCGGTTCAATTTGGGTATTAAGAAAAGAAAAATGCCAAGTAAGATTTTCTTAAAATAAGGTGGCCATATTATCATATCCACAAGTAGGGATGGCAAACGGGCGGGTCGGGTGCGGATACCCCTTCCCCATCCCCATACCCACCTACTATTTTTCAATCCACCACCCGCCCACCACCCATGATGGGTACAAATTTTCAAATTCACACCCGCCCACGCGGGTACATTTTCAAATCCATCCCCACACCTACTACCCACTAGCGACATACCCATCTAGACCCGCCTGACAACAAACTAATGAGATGTTGGAGTTGGTTCGCAGACAGTTCGTGATGGGGTAGCAGCGCATGCTTCAATTTGTCAGATGAGTGGCTCTATGAATGTTATGGAGACATATTGTAGGGAGCATGTAGTCGCAGAGCTGGATTGTTTGTGTTGCTTTCGATGTTAATGCTCATAGTGCGCCTAATATGAGTTTTGAGGGGCTAAAGAACATGGAAACTGCTGCTTTTGATGTTAATGCTTATAGTACGGCTAATTTGTGTTTGGATGGGCAGCATGGGCTAAAGAACATGGAAAGTGACGTGGTTAGTGGGATTATGGGTTTAATCAAAGAGCCGAATATTTCCCTAATTAAATATCAGATTAAAGACTAAATATCCTTAATATTTAGTTAAATTATATGTTATATGTTATATAATATTCAAATTTATAAATTAGTCTCTAAAATTACACCTAAATTCATAATGGTCCAAAATTTAATAGATATTTAGCTGGACGGGCGGATGCGGGGCGGGCGGATGCGGGGTGGGTAATGTCTCAAACCCATTACCCGCCCACCACCCACGACGGGTACCACTTTATAAATCCAAACCCGCCCACTACCCGCTAAAATTATGCCCATCCCCGCTCCAATTGGAGGGGATGCGGTGCGGAATCCACGAAACTGTACCCGTTTGCCATCCCTATCCACAAGGCTAATTAAGGTATTCCAAAGAATTAAAGTTGCATTCCTCGTTGTTTTGTGCTTGGTTGGAGAGCACCGAATTTCACTTGGATGGAGTATATATATATATATATATATATATATGGATTGTTGGATCTATAAATAATTTTTAGGGGGAAAAATATCTTACGTTAATAACATAAAAATTTTATATAATAGATAATTAATTGAAAAATTTTAAATTTTAGAATAAACACGTAAATTCACCAATATTTATATATGCGCAAATGAAAAGTTGTAATTGTACTCCCTAATATTTCCCCACCCCCCCTAATATATACGGTGATGAGCTATTAATCTTGTAAAGATTGTATAGAGAGAAGTAGGAGTAACTGTATGTATAAAAATAAACCAACAAGTAACTATATTACATAGATGGTTTGAAAATAGAAACGAGCATTCTCATGAATGTTAACTCAAACATCCTCCTAATCAATTTAATTCCCAACTATGAAGCTGTTGAATCTATGTTTCATTTTCTTTAATGACTTAAGAAGCAATAATGGTTTTCCTTACACTTAGCAATAAACAATACTACTGAGAATCTAAGCAGATAATGAGATCAACAAGTTGCTACTAATTTTGTATGCAAACAGCCAATATCAAATCTGCTTTAACATGCTATACTTGCCATTGGTCTGACTCAGACATCCATCATACCAGAAGGATAAAGAAGAGTATGTTCTTTTGTAGGCATTATTACTTGAAACAAAATGTGGCATTAAGTTTAAATTTAAATAAATAAATGAATGAATTTGGGCGCCAGCAAAAGCACACTACTGGGTCTACTACTGTGACTGTGTGAGTTTAGACTTGTGTCTTACTGCCGACTTGACCATCTTGTTTGTGGGGCTAACCACAAAGTTACCTTTTTCATGTGCAAGCTACCTCCTATTACCCCCATTGAATGTAGCAGTACCACACGCGTATTTCGCTTTTAGGCTCCAAGCCAATCCCTATATATACCCACCTTCACTTGCACTTTAAACCAAGGTGGTCTAAAACATTCCCATGACTATCAACAAGATATTTGGCGCAGTTTTCTTTGTGTTGTTAGGTGTAGGCATCTGTTCTGCTACTAGAGCTCTCCTCACTCTTGATGAAGTAGCTCACCTCTCAGGTTTTGCTCATGGTGGTGGCACCCTTGGTGTTGGCTTCCATGGAGGAGGTGGGGGTTCAGGAGGTGGTGCTGGTAGTGGCTATGCAAATCTAGGAGAAGCGGGAGTTGCTGGATATGGAGGTGGAGGAGGAGGTGGCAGTGGAGGTGGTGGTGGTGGAGCTAGTGCAGCTGGAGCTTCTGGATATGGAAGTGGAGGTGGTGAAGGAGGTGGAGCTGGTGGTGGGTATGGAGGAGCAGGTGGATATGGAGGTGGCGGCGGCAAAGGTGGTGGTGGAGGTGCTGCAGGTGGATATGGAGGAGGAGCTTCTGGATATGGCAGTGGAGGTGGTGAAGGAGGTGGAGCTGGTGGTGGGTATGGAGGAGCAGGTGGACATGGAGGTGGCGGTGGAAGTGGTGGTGGAGGAGCTAGTGCAGGTGGATATGGTGGTGGAGCTTCTGGATATGGCAGTGGAGGTGGCGAAGGAGGTGGAGCCGGAGCTGGTGGGTATGGAGAAGCTGGTGCTGGTGGAGGTGGTGGTGGTAAAGGTGGTGGTGGAGGTAGTGCAGGTGGATATGGAGGTGGAGCTTCCGGATATGGGAGCGGGGGTGGAGAAGGAGCTGGTAGTGCAGGTGGGTATGGAGGAGCCGGCGGACATGGAGGAGGAGGCGGTGGTGGAAATGGTGGTGGCGGAGCTAGTGCGGGTGGGGCTTCTGGATATGGAAATGGAGGTGGCCAAGGAGGTGGAGCTGGTGCTGGCGGTTATGGAGGAGCCGGTGGACATGGAGGTGGTGGTGGCAGTGGTGGAGGAGGAGCAAGTGCAGGTGGATATGGTGGTGGAGCTTCTGGATACGGAAGTGGAGGCGGTGAAGGTGGTGGAGGAGGAGCAAGTGCAGGTGGATACGGAGGAGGTGGAAGCGGCGGTGGGAGCGGCGGTGGAGGAGCATATGGTGCTGGTGGGGCACATGCAGGTGGATATGGAGGCGGAGAAGGAGCGGGAGGAGGTTATGGTGGAGGTGCAGGCGGTCATGCTGGTGGTGGAGGTGGTGGTGCATATGGTGGAGGAGGTGCACATGCAGGAGGATATGGAAGTGGAGGTGGTGAAGTGGGTGGCTATTACCCTTGAAAGTATCTTCTCAGCATTACGATGTGCAAAGAGTATGAATGTTGTTATTACTGGTATTAAAAAACAAAAAATAAGGGTAATTTGGTACTCAAAACCAAAGTACTAAAAATCCAAGTGAATGATGTTAGAAGTTGTATCAATTGCTACTACTGATTTAAATGTTCAAATGCATTTATATTTTTATTAACCTAATACCAATTGGATGCATGAGGAATTATTATTACAAGATGAAGCTATCATTATTGCTAATGGAACACTGAGCTTTATTACCGGAAATTGTTGAAACACAAAAGGAAATAGTAAGTAGACTAGTTTTGTAAGGGATACGAACAACACTGGTTGGTTAAAAGAAACAAAGCCTTAGCCCATAGGCCATATACATACAGCTTCCTCATGTTTACATCCTACGCCGAGTCATACTATGCGGTAGCAAAAGAATGAGCTCATCATCATCGTACTTCTCCAGTTCTTGCTCCTCCAGGATTCGCTTCAATGGTTCAGAACATATCACCAAAGGAGTAGGCACCAAACAGGCCGGGGACTGGCTCGGGGTGTTCTCTCCGTCATCGATCATCGGACGCCCTTTGATCATGTCCATGTCCCCTTCCTCACTCATCATTACCATGTTGCAGGGTATTTTCTTAGCAAAGTAGGCCCTGTTCTTTCTCAAATATCGGTCGCTGCATTCCGCAAATGACTAGAATCAACATAATTAAAAACAAACAAATCAAATATTATGTTGTGTTGTGTACTTAAAACTCACTTGTCGAAAACTACCCAAGTTGCTCGATGGCTAATGATCCTTTCCACAACAAGCGATGGTAAAGGATAACCCATTACAATTTCCTTTTGTAGCGTAACCTGTTGAATTGCAGTTATTACTGTCAACTGCAAAAACCAAACCAGAGTGTGAAGATGAACCAAAGAGTTGAGATGTAATTACCCCAGGGTCTCTACAAAGGTCCAGCACTGCTTGTAGCTTTAGATATTTGGCATCATTCATACACTCGTTCTTTCTCTAATTAGAGACAAGTGCTCAAACTCCAGCATCCATACATCCTGCCAAGTCTTCGAAGACACTGCAACATTCACAACAACTTAATACCCAAACCACAAAACTCGATCTACTTAACTCGAATTCGACTATGTCTGTGGTGAGAAAATGCTTACAAGGGATATTCAACCATGGCATAAAACCCAAGAGGGTGACGATGTGACCGGAGGCACTGATGTTTTCAAGCACCAACTCGAGCAGCAGGGTGGTAAACTCCTTGAGGCGATCCATAACTATGACAACGTGTTTCGGAACGTTTACAGAGCCTGGGGAACTAAGGTCATTCCCCAGTTTTGATTCTTTCGTCTTTCTCTTTCCCCTGCTAAACCTGGGCGCGACGGACAATATTTACGTTGACCTCTAAATCTGATAAAAAGACCCATATCGGAGGGAAAAAGGGATTTGTGGACATGCCCTTGTTTTCCATTTATACTGATTTTCCAGTAATTTGTCTGCAATGAAATGATCAAAACCATTGACGGAAGCCACGATAGTTGAAAATAACTATGTTGTTGGCTTTATAGAATTCGTCATTTGAGTGGAATGGATATACAACACCACCAAGTGTGCCAAAATAATGAATTACCCTTCTTAGATTTCAATGAAACCTTCCAATTCGAATCATTAAGGGTATGAGATAAAGCCTAAAACCACCTTGCTTCCTTCAAATAAGTCTTTTTTTTTTAAAACTTATTCAACTTTATTCTTCTCTTATTAGTCGTTCATTTTCACTAAAATATAATTGGACCCCAACCATCTATATACATTAAATTATGGACTTAATCATAAAAACAAGTGTACAAATTATACTTTTTTTTTTCTAAATAAGTGTTTAATTTTTTTTCCGTTCAATCCAGATGTCTAACGTTACAAACGTTACCACTTTATGTGTCGTCCGTAAAAAAACTCCATTAAGTGTCACGTGTATCCAACCCTCTCAATTTTTTCAACATAAACATAAATAATATCTTCTAATTTAGCCAATATTTAACGAATTGTGTTAAAAAATTATAAACTTAAAAGTTTAATAATGATTTTTTATAGTTAAATGATAAAAAAATTATAATTTACTCTTCAAAAAGAATTTTGGGCCTGAAGGTTTTTTCTGATTTTTTCCACTTATCGAAACCCAAATTGTCCAACCCTTATAAACCCTGAGATCAATTGCTCGATGTTTGTTTGAAGCTTCCTCTGTCCTTTATTTTCTCTCCACAGCCGGAACTCTTCTTTCTCCTTTTACCTCTCGCTGTAGGTATTCAAAGGAGGTGTTTCCTTATTAGGCGACAGCCATGGAGGATGACGAACAATCACTCTCAAAATCAAGAACAGAAAGGTCCAAGAAAAGGAGCATTGAAGAGGACCTCCACGAGGCAATGGAACCAGTAAAACAAAGTCCTGGAGCAAAACATGAGAATTTGCAAGTCAAAATTCAGATTCTCCAAGAGCAATCAAACAAGATTCCACCTTTACTTGCTTATTTCCCATATGTTTATAATCCTTGCAAAACCCAACAAGAGGGAGGAGCCAACAAACCCAAGGTCAAAGTTTTTAGAAACATGGCTCAGAGAAAGAGTAATAGGCTGCAGGTTGTGGTTAGCCCCGGTGGATCGAATGTCGATTTTGTGGGATCGAGTAGGTGAGGCTGCTGCTGCACAAGTTTGCAGGTACTCACTTGGTGTTCTTGATAAGGAAGCCGGGACTCTCAAAATTATTTTACTTTGACCTTCGGTTTGTTATAATCCTATTGCTACTAATAAGGTAACATTTCTGTGTATTGAAGTGAACTACGTTATTCTTATTTGTTTTTGCTTTCTCTGTTTTGTTTTTATGTGGCGATGAATGAAAATGGAAACTTGAATTGTTTTACTTGCTCTGCATTGGATTGTAGAGGGTTTATACCTTAAATCTTTTTATTTTATTACCTGTATAACTATTGGATTTCTAGTTTTCTGATGGAGATCTTTGTGATGAGCTAGTTTATTTATCAATTCTTTAATTATTGAAAGGGGAAAAGGGGTGTGGAGAAGTAAGGGAAATTTTATTAATGTTGCTATTGAACAAGATGTTTCTTGTGGTTTTGGTTAATCTGTTGGCTTGTATGATATTATTGTAGATATTTAGATTGGAACCAAGAGTTAGGACCTCAGAGACTGGTAATGAAGATGCTTCAGTTTCCGCAAAGAGTGAACTTACTACCGATAAAAAAGACATGCTAGACAAGCTGGGAGGGCTTACTGAGCTTTACGGAACTAAGAAGGATAGGAAGAAGGTTTGGCTCTTTCTTGTTCCTTGATTCTTTAAGTGGAATTGTGGTGTTACCTGTAACTATAGATTCATTATGTTTGACCGGCTTTCTTTTATCTTTATGCTCAAGTGGTAATGCAATCAACTTTTGTTGGTTTATTTTTAGGGTTAAATACACATTACTATTGTGAACTTACATGTCTCTACATTTCTTGTTGTAGAATAAAAATTAGTATGTATAAGTTTCATTCCATCACACCCTTTAGCCTCCTCACAAGAACATAGTCCAAGGATGTCATGCTTTCTGAGACCAATGGTTAATCACCGAATTTCACCTGAGGGAGCAGCCAAAAGCAAGACTGCAGGAGTCTCATCCCACCAAACCGTATGAAACTTAAGCCACTGTTTTCTATTGGTTGGACTTACGGGGGATTCATTCCCGAAGTTCACCAAAAGCCTTTTGGCAAGTGGACAGTTAGAGCAACTCTCGTCGCTCAACGCTCAATGTCATTTTCCCTCCTATTTCTTCAATTTCAAAAATAGAAAAAAAATCCAATTTTTATTCCTTTGTTGCTTTTTTTCATCCGTGATGATTTTTCTGGATGTTTGCATGTCATCCTTGGACCACCAAATTGTGGTTTTTAGTACCAGTATGATAGAAGTGATGTACTTCATGGGGCAGAAGGGTATTTAAGTTTGTTTTAGTACAATTAAAAGGTTCAACAGCTGTATGTATAACTTCTGGTTCTTGTATAATGCAGAGGAAGTAGCTTTTGACAAGGAAGCTTTGGGAAACACCAGTGCGGTTATTGCTCGTAATATCCCTCCACACGATGTTTCTGCTGCTTCTCCCCCAAAAGCTTACCCTCTAGACAAGATTATTCTCAAGGGAGACTGGGATTTTCTTGGTGATATTTATAAGCTTCTGGAAGCAGGCGAAAAAGTAGCTAGCAATGCCTATACACATTTTGTTTGCAACAGAATCCGAAAATTGGATGCCACTCAGGTAAGATTATATAAGAGAAAGACGTCTGATGTGTTAGCCTGAAATTAATTTTTCGAGGGATTATATACTTTCTGAAAAGACACACACGCATAAGAACTCATTGCTCTTGATGACTGATGATATATTGTAATGATGCCTTTAACTGCAGGATGAGACACAGAAGTGGCAACTGTCTTGCGTGTTTTCATATATTACTCATCTTGTGAAGTTCAGAGATCAGTTCTCCATGGGGCAGACTTCTTCTGCAAAGAACCATAATATCCCGAGCATCATACGCCACAGATTTATTAACATGTCTACTGATCCAGGTTCAAAAGTACTGGCCAGTGAGAAAATCGATCTTCTGATTAGTTATGTATTTTTGCTCCCTTTACATGCCGATGGATTCCGAACTGACCCATTGGATATAGTCAAGGATCTTCGAATCAGTAAAGTAGATTTGAGACGTCATTTCCTGAACTTGGGGTGCAAACTCGGCCATCAGAGCAGCGTATTGTATGCTACACTTCCTGTCCCTCTAAATTTTCCTTCAGAGAATTTCAGGAAGAAGCGGAGACAGTAGATGGATCGGCTGCTGCAGATGTTATTGCAGCTATGTAACACGTAGGCATCCATGACAAATTTTTATTTATTGATGATGTTTTCTATATTAATTTATTTATTTGAGGTAAAGGGTTGTTGAAGATAAGGTGGGATGATATACAAGTTGATTGACAACTGATAAGGGTCAGCAACGTTTTGATTTGATTTTTATATCAAATTATCATCAACCTGTGACTTGGTTAGTCAAATAATCCAGGCGAGAAAGAAATTTGGGGAAATGTAGACGATTGAAAATTAGTTTGAGATAGATCATTTATTACAATGTGTTTGAAATTCATTGTGTAGAAATGATGAGTTTCGTAAAATATAATAAATAATTAAAATTTCGTTTACTTTTGAATTTTACTTCCTTGCTGCATGCTAATGGCAATGCCCCAACTTGTTATCTATCTACACAACAATCATATCCTACCAATAATGGACTTAAAGAACAAGCAAATGCCGAAACCAAAAGTTAAACAAATTAAAGTGGCAACGCAATGTAGTTCGCAAATTTAACAAACCTTTCCTAAATACGCACAACATCAAACCTTGATTGGTTTACATCTCATACAGATACGAAGGGACTACACTAATAAGACACCACCTCTGCAAGTGGTATAACAAGTAACAAAAACAATTGGACGCTGTTTCTTTTAAAATATTATTTCCTCTCTTCCGTGAAAGAATTTTATGATTAACTCGCTTTACATTCGCTACAGAACATATAGGCCGGTAATATCTTTAAAGCCCAGAACATTGAATTAAAGGATTCTGTCCTGCAGATCCGACATGAGAGTGGATGCTAATGAGCTCAGTTTCTTTCCAGTCTCCCCGGCTATGTTCTTAAGGTTTGATATATCTTGTTGTGCCTGCAAGTGATTTCATGATGATGATAAATCAACTTAACCCCGATGTAGAAAATAGGTAATGTAAACTCCCAGATTGCATATGCACTAATAAAAATTCAGGTGATGCATAACAGATGCAATATACAAAGCAGACCTGGAAAGAGAGTCGGTTGACGAGATCACTAGCAGCAAGGTCAATAGAACTATCGGCAGACTGACCGAAAAGATCAGCACTGGAGATGGCTGTTGAACCCTGAAAAAAAAAAACAAGGTGGCTATCAAATATCAGAACACCACATTTCACGTATAAATTACCACTTGTTACTGCTCTCAACAGATAAATGGATTACCAACTACTTCCGATTATCCCTAAACTTGTTAAAGATGATTAAAGAAAGCGTATTCCGAAAATTAGATGTCAACTAGAAAACTAAGGATGTTATCTTTCAAGAAAGCAATAGCTACTGCACGTACTGAGAATTTCTGCAAAGTAACTTGTGCATCATTGTCTACCCTGGTATGATCACCAAAATACTGGGCTGATGAAATAGATTTTGCATTAGAGAACTTTCTCCTAGCTTCATCAGTTTCCTGAACCTGAGATTAAAATGAAGCAGTAAGAAACAAAACCAAGAGGAAAAAGAAGATAAAAGCGGAAATGATAACTAAGATTGACCCCTTCCAAGCCAACATCAAACAAGGTGACACTTCCCAACCCCAATTCTCACACATTACTCTACATGGACATCTCCAATATGGGAACTAAAGTATATTTGGTTTGGTAGGTAAAAGTGACATATCCAAGTAGACTGAAGGCTATGTACCAAAACTTGATATTCAAGGGAAAGTTTAACTCTAGGCCCTAGCTAAAAGCATAACCAAAATAATATACCATGTTCAATCTCTTCATGTCAGACATCCTCGTAAAGTTGAAAACATCTCTAGCAGTATAGATTTTCGATTGATCTTAAGTGATAAGAAGAATCATAAAGTAAGATGTTCTAAAACCAAAAGAGATAATACAATCAAACTAACCAGCCTTTTATACACAAAATATTTAAGCACTTGGCCATGTTACTTACTTGCACTTTTGTGCTATTTGAGCTTGATTTCTTCTGAAAACCACTCTCCATTCCAAATTCTTCAAAGAAGCTTGATGACTTTGGTGGAGCAACATGGCCAAGAATTTGTGGGCCGCCAGAATTCAACTCACTAGATTGATCATTCTCTAGATACTCAAAACGAGATGGAAAAGCTGAACCAACGGGTGCAGTGTCCTTAGCTGGGGAAGCAACAGGGACAACTCGTTCTTCAGGCTTTTGATCATAGAGATTTTTACTTGGCTGCAAGTAAAGAAAATTATGTTATCAAGAAGCAGGGCATTTAAAATAACTCCAAAATAAGAAACCTTTCTAATCAAGATATCCTTATGATCCTTCTGCGGTAAGTTCATTGTTCAAGAGGGTCTGGAAGGAATACCTTTGAAGTAAGCTTTCTGACACCAAGTCCTCCAGTTTTTCCAGTTCTTTTTGCACCTAGAGGCTTCTTGACAGTGCTGGTAACAACTTTATGAGAAGCTTTCGGTGAAGGAGGAAGCTCTGGTTTTTCTTGCCCGCCTAAAGAACTTTCTTTAGGAGCTTCATCAGTCTTGCTATGAAGAAGTCCATTGGGTGCTTGAGGTGACTCAGAAGCAACAGGGGATGTAGGTAAACCTGCCTCTTCTGCCATACTCTTAGCAGCCTCTTTAGATAATATTTGCCTATATAAATCGGCAGCTCTTGAAGTGTATTTGGCCTCAATTTTGCCTACATCAGACCATCCATGCTGCTTAAAGAAAACCTGAGCACGGTTGTTTCCTCCATAGATCATCATTTTCAATTGTTCAAGAGACCAAGAATCTAAATTTGTAGACCTGCATAAAATATTCGTGCTTTTCAGAAAGAAAGAAAAAAGAGAAACACAAAGACTTGAGAATATAAGCAGCAGATGTAACGTGGTATGATGCAATTGACATCAAAATATTCAAGTCTTCACTAATTAGTACGTTTCACAGTAAACACCAAATATCTAAAAGGACACTTCTGTTGGCCAGTAAAGACGCTACTCTTGACTCCTGGGAAAGAGCACCGACAACATGAAATAGGGAGGCAACATGCACACTACATTGTTTACCCCCAAAAACTCATAGACAGGTTAAGTTAATAAAGATTAATCTCTACAAAAGGGTTTCTTCAATCAAAACCCCCCACCCCACCCAAAAAAAAAAGGTCCCTCTCAAAGTAAATTTCAAAACTACATCAAAGAGAGAACAAAAGCTAATGCAGGAACAGCTTGCCCCATTTAGGTGTATAAATCAAAAGGTGAGGTTACTACCACTCATAACAAAAGCCCAAAAGAATATTTCAGTTCAGGATTCTCTCCAGCACTAGAAACAAGAGTTCACAAAACATCTTTGTATGTGAAAATTAATAATTTAGGAGCACGTAAAAAGAATAAAAAAAAACAAATTTTCTCTCATCATTTATTCCTTCAATTGAATTTCAGGAAACCCAAAACTGCAGAACGTAATCTGCTCAATCAAACGTTTTCCATATTTTAATTCACAAATTTCCACACTAGACATATCAGTTTTATGCATAGTATAATTGAGAACATGAAAATTAGAAGGCATTACTAATTAATGCAAAACATGAAAACTAGATCCGAAAACATATTAAAAAAACAATAAGAATGAAACCTGACAAAGCTGATGTGTACACCGAGACTCCGATGAACAGCCGAGCAGTCGATGCAAAGAAAGATCCCGTAAGTCACTGATGCCCATGTTGGATTCTTCGCATTACAATCGAAACACATCTAACAGGAAAATAAAATAGTCGAAGATCAACTAAGGGAATTTCAGATCTGAATCAGATCTACAAATAAAGAAAGGAAAAATACCTTGTTTTCTGATTTCGCTTTCAGCTTTCTGAAAACAGCATTCTTATCGGTCATGTTATCGGACAACGCCATCGATGCTTTCCCTTTTTTCCTTCAAATTTTTCGAATTTCAGAACGAAAAATGTATTCTTTATTTAAATATTTAAATGGAATTTACAAAGAATGAAGGGAAAATCTCTATACTGAAGAGGGGTGGGATCGATAATCGAACACCTCCTCAGACTTCAACAATAAGGGATATAGAAACCACAAAGCTAATCAAATGCTATATGCAATTGGATTTTTGGTTTTTTATCATGTAATGTCGATTTTAGCCTTTTATTATTATTTTAGTTTCTGAAATGACGCAAAAGACCTTGAAATGGAGTGAGTGAGTGTGTGGTGAGAGAGGCGAAGCTTCCACCGTGGGTGGTGGTGACGGTGGTGGTTAAGTGACGGTTTTATTATCGACCGTGAATTGGATGTAAGAAGCTTAACTAAATAAGTACACATCTCATCGACCTCAATTCTATTTGATGGCTCAACGGCTATTCCTTCGGTAATTAACCAACCAACCCGTATCCAATGCTAAATAAATAAGCGTATAATGATAAAAATAATTCTTAATGCTTGCATAATTGATTATCTTGTTTATTTTTTATTAAAGATTTTGTATATTTTTAATAAGAAAAATTTATGTTAGATAAAATCTTTTATTAACGGACAATTAAATATAAGTTATTAACGTGATATTTTTGTATGTATTTAATTCATGATATGAAATATGTCACATCATTTAAAATGATGATATATTCATTTGACATGTCATCAGTAGAGCATATGTAAAAATGTCACGTCAACAACACGTGTTAATCGTAGTTAATTAATAGTTTTCATCCAACAAGAGTTATTTTGACCAAAATTTGAAACGTTGAGTGTTAAAATGCTCCAAAAAAAGTATAGAGGTAAAGTGATCATTTATGCGCTGTTAGGGGCTAATTTTATCATTATACCATTAATAAATATGATTAACTACCGAATTGATCGTTTTTCTTTTATATTTTTACACTTTTTCTTACCAAATTCGAAAAGTTATGTTTCAATCAAATTGATAATTATTGATTTATTAAATTTTAATCACTTACATTATTGACTGTTACATTTCATTGAATCGTTAACTCAAGTTAATTTGATGACATGACATTTTAGATAAAATGGATTAATTTTTTTATTTGACTCTTGAAATTTAGATAGAATACTAATTTGACCTTGGACTTTAGATGAAATCTCATTTTAACCCCTCAAATTTAGATAAAAAATCAATTTGACCCCTAAATTTGATTAAAGTCTCTCTTCACCGATCGCCACTCACCACCATCACTGTTGATAGCCATCAACCATCATCGTTGGCGATCGATGGATCCTAAAATTTACAATTCACTCGTTTTTGACCTCTTAAACGTGAATATGATGTTTATTTCATCAAAAAAAATCCTTGGACTCAACAAATTTATTCTAGAACCCTTCGACTTCCTCAAAATCAAACAATAATAAAGACACGAAACAACTAAATATATATCTTGATCAAAAATAGAAGATTGGGTAAAGTTGATCTAGGAGAATCCATTGATGTTTTGAGCTAAGATGGTGTACTCAAAATCTAATCGTGTTGTGTATCATGAACCTTATAAATACAATGCATTGTGTGTTGTATGTTGCTTGTTGAGAATGTTTGATTGCTAAGCATGTTTGGTGATCAAATTGTTGAATATGTTGTTAAACATAAGTATGAATGAAGTTACATGCCCCATGTCACCCATATAACCTTAGAAATAGAGTAAAACTTTAAATCGAGTGTGTTAAGGGGTATTGTGAATGATTTTCAAGCTTAAAATGTTCATTTTTTGATTCGAGTATAATATTGTTCTTGAGGCATTGATACCATATGAAATTATAATTAAAATATGGGCAAATCCCATTCATAGAATATTGATATCGAAAATCGATATTGAGATTAATTGATGTATTTCTGTGTGCCAATTCGACGATATAGACACTATTCAAGAGTATTGATTCCTCTGCTTAGCAGCGATACTAAAGGCTAATAAAGGCTTAGATTCCCTTTAAATCAATAAATGGAAATGGATTGTGTCTATTAAGAACATATGAGGTTAAAAAGAAGCATTAACTAATTAAAGGACCAAAGTACCCTTAAGAGATACAAAATACCATAAAATTATCGAAATACCCTTAATGTTTGAAAATAAATGTTAATGGTATAAAGATAATTGGTATATAGAACTTACTAATAAGCCATGAGACCCGTATGAGAAGAATTAATGATATTACTTTGAGAGTTAGATGTATATATACTCTTATGTGATTAGGAGTACGAAAACTCTTCACCTAAAATCAATCTTTCATAACATATGATTAATCTTATAAATGACATTAAGTCTCAATGTTTGGCCTTAAAATGCAATTGTTGGTATGTTGGCCTATGAGCACCAAAAATTGTGTGTGACAGTATACGGTTAATGAGACCAAACAACCGCACTTAAGTCTATATGGTAAAATAATACTTAATGGTTAGTAAGACCAAACAAGGCTCTTAACCTTGTGGTCGTGGGATCGAGTCCTATTAAGGGCAATTCATAACGGATGTCTTCCACGAAAGCTGCTCTCAACTTGGTGTTGGGAGCAACCTATTACCCTAACTCCCTCTTACCCCATTACATATGGGAATAGGGTCAGCTAATTTTTTTTAAGACCAAGTAGCACCACTATTGTTGATACTTGATTACTTATATGACACTGGATATCATTATATCATATCACTTGATAGTTTAGTGAGATAACGTGATATTGCTGTGTTTTCATGTAGTTGTGATTGTATAATTGTTATTGTTGATTATTTTCTGATGTTAGGTTAAACCAAATAATTTATCATTGTTGATACAATTTTATGACTAAGTTTTAAGAACAAGGATTAGATTATACATGAGACTTGTAGTATCGAATAACTTTTCATTGATTGACTATTAACGTGATATACCTTTGGATAGTGAAACAAATTGATACTCGATGCTCAAAACTTATATTTCTAGCAAGCTTATGTTTATGAATTTCATGGTGTATATTATATTAGTAATATACAATTAAGGTTGTAAAGCTCAATATTCGGTTGTTTATGTTCGCATACAAGCAAATTACTGTTGTTCGTGAAGCAAAATCGTTGCAATATTTCTAACATCCATATCTGAGTAAAATATCTAATTACTTTAGTGAACATATATATTTATAGGACCGTTATGTGTATTTTGTCGGGAACTGTGATTATATTTTGAACTTATTTTGATTTATACTATATAATGGTTGTAAAAATATTGTACGATCATTATGAAAGTTAATATTTTGGTATTAGTCAATGATTTTATATGTTTTAATCATGAGAAAAAAAATTAAAATAGTGATCGTTTTGGTGGCCCAATGTAACGTGTTAGGCTCATCTTATAATAGATGAATTATGTTTTTTTGTTTTAGTGATCAAGTGATATTGGCATCCTCTTGTATAGGATTAATATCGTGCTCCTTTAATTACAAAAATAAAGTATTTAAACAAACCAATGATATTATAAAAATAAAAAATATATATTGAAAATTAAAATAGTGAAATTAAAACTAAAATTAATCATAAAAAATACCAAAACCATAATTCAACCCTTCAAACCAGACGATCACGGATCTATTCTAATAATGATTAAAGTGGGCTTTTGGCAAACGATTGGGCCAGGACAAACGCCCACTGCAAGCTTGATCTTATATTTAGTTGCAGACAAGAATGTGTGACTGTGAGATGAGGATTGAGACGATATATCATCAAACTATAAGGGTAAATTACACATTTAGTATTTAAATGTGAAGTGGGCGGATGCGGGTGGGTAAGATCTCAAACTCATCACCTACCCACTACTAATGGTGGGTATGACTGTTTACATCCACACCCGTTCATCATCAACTAAACTTATACCCATCCCCACCCGAGATGCGAAATCCATGAGATATAACCTGTCTGTCATCCCTAATAACGTCATGTCAATATAGATTTAATGGATAATGATCAAAATGAAATCAAATCATAATGTTAAGTATGATTTGAAAAGCAATAGTTGGATGATTAAAACGGACCGCACAAATAATTGACAGGCTAAATATCTAGTTTACCCTTTATAATCACACAGCAAAATTTAATTTACTAACTGTATATAGATTTATACATCATGGCTGTATTAAATATAAATATTGTATAATTTATATCATAATGGATTAAAAGTTTAAAAACGCTCTATCATACAATAAAACCCAATTTTTCAATCGTTGTCTACCCATTTGTAGATGGGCCATAAACATTCCTTCCTCCACAAACAATTAATACAGGAAATTTTGTGGTCGGAATTTTAAATTTATTTTGTCTTCCACCCCCCCCCCAAAAAAAAAGAGATTGGACCACCCGGATGGTGCATATTATATGATGTTCATAACTCATGAGTCATTATATGGGTGCATTGTCCCATTAATTACTTGCATATATAGTGACACTTCACATAATTTATAAGCAAGTAGGCTAAAAATCCTTTGGAATATCTCTTGTCGTAAATAAATCACCTAGGCTACTATTTTGTATTATATTTACAAGTTTGATATTATTTTTATTAGTTTAGGGTGAATACGAGATAATATATATTCAAAAAAATTTCAATTATTTACAATGAACGTTCATAAATCTTTATAAATATCGTGTCCGAATTTAAAACATTAAGACATAATAATAATTTCTTAACCATTATTTGATTCTTACGTTAGTGTGATGTCAAAGCACAAATACATGTTTCTTTCTTTCTGAACAAGCACATGCTGAAAATGAACTCGACACCACAAATTAAACTGATAATTAGACATGTATTTTCATTGTGGGTGCCAAGTACGAACATCACTCTTCAATGTTAGAAAATGAACCGAATAGGACAAGCTAATCATGTGTGGAGATATATTTTATTGGATAAACTACATGTTTAATATCCTAACTATTACTTTCGTTTTATTTTGGTCATTAAACTATTTTTTTTAAATCATGCCTAACGTTTAATTTTAATTTTATTTTGGTCACTTTGTAGTTTGTATTGAAAAATTAACGATGATGTTGATGTGTCACCATGAGATAATGTCATATCATCATTCAATTTTTTTTAAAATGACACATCAATGGTTCTATTTATTTTTTAACG